GATTGGCACAGGACAGAGCAGAGTTTGGGCTGTTGTACATAGGGTCGCTATGAGTGGCAAGCGACTTGACGGCACATAACAACAACAACAAATCACATGGGAGGAGACTATCCATCTTTCTCCCACGAAGATTTGAACCTTGTACCTCTGTGCTGACAGCACAGCTTCCACATGGCCTATCTACATCCTCTTTTCCATCTTCAAGGTGAAGCATACAGTATCGGGTCTTGCACATAAAAGGTGCTGCTTCATGTTATGAGCCATCAAATGAGCTAGGACTCATAGTGACCCTGGGAACATCGGCTCTGAATCTTGCCTTATCCCGTGCCATCCTCCTCATCTCTAACATAGCTGAGCTCACAAAGGAGTAAGTACACCTGTGGTGGCAATGGCTGTGGGGGTGTAACATACTTGAGTATACTGCTGCAGTCACCATGTTCATTCATCTCCACGTTTACAAGCATTACTTCTTTTTCAAGGACTGCCCTCCCCTAACAGCATGCTCAAAATATGTGAGATAGTTTCACTATTCTTGCCTCTCTAAAGAGCACCGTGGTTGCCCTTTTTCTAAGATTCGTTTGTTTTTTTTGGCAGTCCATGGGATATTCCATACTCTTCTCCAACGTCACAATTTAAAGGCATCGATTCTTTTTTCTATCTTAGTCACTGTCCAAGTTTCAAATGCATAGCAAGTAAATGTGAAGACTAAGGTTGATCAAGCTCACCTTAGTCTCCAGACTGACATCATTGCTCTTTAGTACTGAGAGTTCTTGCCAAATGTTTACTGAGTGCAAGGCTTCCCACTAGCATACAAAGGAAGCAGATGTTTCCTTCCCTTCCTAGGTATATAGAGAATAGTGAACTCTATTTTTATGAAGGGAAGAGAACCGTCCAGTTCCATATGGCTAGGTCTGGACCCCAGGCCGTCTGGCTCAGTTTAGCTTAACAGTATTTGACTTAGCACACAAACCAGGACAGGAGGTAACTGGACATGATGCTTGTCCACAAGGGCTGCCTACTCTGTGGCTGTCAGGGCACGAGGTGCCGGGGACAGTAACAAGAACTCTGCTTTTGGGAGCTCACAGTCTGGGAGAGGGGCAGCAAGTCACAGGACAGCACGCCAAATGCAAGGGCAGCCGCTGGGTTCCTCACCACCCAGTGGGGAGTCCCTACCTGGGGAAGCAAGGACAGCAATCTCTACTGTCTTTAAATAGATAAACTCCAAGGAAGCAAGGATGCGAACATGCGTACGGAAAACCAGCAGGTTCACACGCAAAGGCATTATGTAAGGTCTTAACACATTGTGACACCAATTCCAAAGGTGCAACAACGTTTCAGCTGTCATTTTAACAAAGAAGCAAAAAAGTGAGGGCTCGACATCAATTCAAGGAAACCCTGCAGGGCTGTGAGGCAGCAGTGGAAACAGCTGGGGTGCGAGCAGGCGCCCCGGCCGGGCGCGAGAGCCTAGGGCAGCCGGGGAGAAGGGGGACCGGGAGGTGGAAGTCGTCAGACGCCAGAGGGAAGGCGAGCAGAGCGGGCAGGGCGCCCACGGGCCGGGCGGCCGCCCGAGTTCCGCTCGGCAGCGCGGAGGAGCGAGCGAGGCCGCCTGGCTTCCCGGGCCGCCCGCCGCCGCCGTGGCATCCCGCCCGCCGCGCCTCCTGAGCCTCACCTCGGGTTGAAGTCCTGGAAGAGGCCCCTCAGGTTCATGGCGGAGAACTTCACCGCGGCGCCGGCGCCCCGTCCCGCCCTCGCCGCGCAGCCCACTCCCTACAGCGGGTTCATGGTGCCAGCGCTGCCGTGTCCCGGTCGCCACCGCCCCGGTAACCTGAGCCGTTGCCTGGCCACGCCCCGCCGGCCCGGCTTCCGTAGGGTGGTACGCATGCGCTGACCCCGCCCTCCGGTGTCCCGCCCACCGGCTGGGAAGCCTCGCCTGGTCGCCCGGGTGCGCGCGGGTCCCTGGGTCAGCGCGGCTCACCTGTTCCTGCACCAAGCCTTCGTGGATGCCATCAGCGCCCGGCTCGGCTTCTGGAGGTTTCCTCCGATGACGGCTGAGCGTCGGCCTATGGGAATGGCACGCGAGTGAAAATTTGCATTTGGCTGTCTCTTCCTGGGCATCACCTGTCATACCTGTCACACCTGTCAGGGACTCCAAAGTCCATGTCCCCAGTCTTCTCTAAGCCTCAGGCTACCTAGCTGTCTACATATCTTGTCGAGGTGCCATCGAGTTGAGTATGACTCAGAGCGACCCTGTGTACAACTAAACTGAACCCTGCCCTATCCTGTGCCAGCCTCACAGTCTCTGACACACTGAATCCCATTGCTGCAGTCACTGTGTCAAACCACCTGGTTGTGGGTCTCCTTAGCCGTCCTTCCATCTTGTCAAGCATGATATCCCTCTCCAAGGAATAGCCTCTTCTTGTAACATGTCCAATGTAAAACGAAGGTGCATCATCTTTGCCTCCAAGGTGCACTGTGTGAGTTCCTTTGGCCTTTTATTTAGTATTCTTTTCCAACACCAGAGCTCAAAGGCATCCATTCATTTCCTGTCATCTTTACACATTTCCCAGCTCTCAGATGCTTAGCAGGTGATGGAAAAGATCATGGCCTGAATCAGGTATGTCTTGGTCTTAAAACTAACACCATTCATTGCTTCTCAGCACTTTGGAAAGGTCCCTGACAGCAGATTTGCCCAGTCTAATACGTTTCCTAATCTCCTGACTGCTGGTGCCAAAGGTGTTGATTGTGGATTCACATAAGAGGAAATCATTGACAATTTCAATCTTTCCTCCCCCTATCATGATAATGCATATTAGCCCAGTGATGAAGATGTGTGTCTTCTTCGTGTTGAAATAGCTTCATGTTGAAGGCTGTAGTCTTTGACCATACTGAAGAGAATTTAAAACCAGCTGCAGGCATATACCAATAGAGAACAGCTAGAAGTTTAAGCTGGATTCAAAAGAGGGTGTGGAATGAAGGATATCATTGCTGACATCAGCTGGATCTTGGCTGAAAGCAGATATTTCCAGAAAGATGTTTACTTGTGTTTTGTTGACTATGTAAAGACATTTGACATGTGGATCCCAATAAATTACATTTAACATTGAGGAGAACTGGAATTCCAGAACACATAATGGGCTCATGTGGAACCTAGGCATAGACCAAGAAGCAATCCTTAGAAGAGTATAAGGGGACACTGCATGGTTTGAAATCAGGAAACGTGTGCTTCAGAGTTGTAACATTTCACCATACCTATTCTGTGTACTGAGCAAATAATCTGAGAGGTTGAACTATATGAAGAACGTGCCAGAGGAAGTAGAGTCAGAGTGCTTCTTCGCCTTGAGGGTGGTGATATGTTGTCTCACACACTTTGGACAGGCTCGATTCTGGAGAAGTGTATCATATTTGGAAAAGTAGAGGGTCAGCAAAAGTGGAGAAGACCCTCCTAGGTATATTGACACAGCAAGGGCTCCAGCATAAGAATGGCTGTAAGACACACACCCATGTTTATTGCTGCAGTGTTCAGAATGGCAAAGAGATGGATGCTACCCAGGTGTCCATCAACAAATGAATGGATAGAGAAGCTGTAGTGTATTCACACAGTGAAATACTATGCAGCATTGAAAAACAAAGATCTCATAAAATATTTCACAAAACCCTGGAGGCCGTTATGCTAAGTGACATATCTCAGTCACAAAAGGACAAATATTGCATAATGCCACTGTTATAAAACAGTATTGATATGGGGGTTGGGGAAACTAAGAAAAGAGGGGATAAATAATGAATACTGCATTGAAATAGTTGAGGGAAAGAACTATTTAAAAAGGAATATATGATTAGGTATTATTTGCATGACAATAGTCCAGAATAAGAGGTGCAGAGCAAACTGGACTTGGGGGGGGGGCGGGAGGAGGAAGGAAATTGTGCAATTGTGATAGTCATGTGTTGCCATGATGTATCACCTTTCTTCTGAGAACTTGAAAACACTTCACAAGTGGTAATTAGGCTTCTGAACACTCACTGGGGGAAAGATATTATTAAATAAGCTGGTTTTAAGGATGAGTAACCAACAGCAATTTTGTCAGCTGCTGATCTCTGGGACCTTGTTCTGGACTCTTTAGGCCAGCTCCCCAACCCATTGTCTGGGTGGAGGCCAGTATCCAGCCCTAAGGTGGTTCCCTGTGAACTGTCAGGTATAACCTGCCGTGACCTTTTACCCCTTGCTCTGTATCCTACCGTGGACATAATCTCTAAGGGAACAGACCCATGAGTGAGGCTGACACAGAGTGAAGACCCTGGCTAGGCATATGTGGGTAGGTTCCCCCCCCCCCCCAGGACGCCTGCCCGAGATCACTTTCTCTTCCTCGTCTTCCTGCCTTTACTGAATCTCCTCTCATAGTTTTCACGTCTTCCACACGAGCTTCCTGTCACCTTCCACGCTGTGCTGGCTAATCAGATGCCACTTCCTTCTCCCATCCACTGGATCCTTTCAAGCTGGGACTGCCTGTAACCTATACTCTTGTCCTAGTTGCTCAGGTTTGGCTTCTGCCAGGCCCTGGGGGTGGGGGTACAAGAAATATACTGTTGTGCAAATGCAAGGCCAGCTTTGGGGGTGGCTGGGAAAGAACCAGTCAGCATCCAGGATGGGAAGGAGAACAGGCCATTCCAGGTAGAGGGAATGGTACACGCCAAGTCACCGAAGCCAGAAGTGGAGGTAGGTGGGTCACTCAAAAAGTTAATGCCTTAACTCCTGCACCCCTGTGCCGTATGGATGGGCCCAGCCTTTCCTCCAGCCTGGGATCTCTCCAGCTTTCAGGCCGTAGCCCTCACTGAATGGTGGCCACAGGTCTTTGCTCACCTGACTGAACCCTGGGTTCCAGCCACCAACCTCAAGATCTCCCAGGTGTCCTCAGGAAATTTGCCACAGAGAATTCAGAGCAGCCTCCTCTCCGGCTGGGCTCCAGTCTGGAGCAGAGCACAGTCCAGCCTCGCCCATGGTAGAACCCAGCAACATGAGGTGCCAGCTCTGAGGCTACCCCACACATTTGAAATGTGGCCAGAGGGCCTTGGCGTGGTCTCTGTCCCAGACTAAATGGATTTTCCTCTCCAGCCCCAGCCACCAGCAGTCTGCCTACCTGCGCTTCTGTGTGCTTTCTGTGATCTCTGCATTTTGAGGCCTCAGCTCAAGAGTTCCATTCTGATGACTCCGTTATGAGTCAGCTCTGACTTAAATGTATTACTTCTTTTATGGTTTTGCTTTTCATCTTTGTGGCTTCTCGTTTCGTGGCTACTATATGGTAGGATTTGGAACAGTGAATCATTGCATTGCACACTTCCAGTGAATAACAAGAGTGAGGACATCAGCTTATTCTGGGCTACAGCATTACGTATAGCACCTGCCACTAACAATAAGATGTGCAGAAAAGTCATGGTAGTGTGCGTGGCTGGCAAGTCAAGGACTGCTTGGAGAGCAGCTCTCCAGGCAGTGCTCGTGAAATGGGTGGCGGAGCAGGACAGCCCAGCTCGTATGTGGTCAGCAGTTCTCCCCCTCCCACCTCTCTCCTCTGCTGGAGCAATGACATCTCCTTCCGAAGGGTCTAGTAACTGAAGGCATTGTCTGTGCTCACTCTATCTGTTCCATCAAGTTCCCTGCCAGGCACGGAGCATTCTTTAACATCCTAGAGCAAGCTGTATGGGTTATATTCTTCAAAGAACTTTGTGGAGATCTAGACACTCTGGGCTCCGGTACCTTTGACTATGACTGTATTTGGAAATAAGGTGTTTGAAGATGTCAGCAGGTCACACAAGGTCAAACTGTAGAAACATGACCCTGACCCTATGGGTGGCGTGATTGTAAAAGACACAGCCAAAGGGGTGCCCCCCCCATGGAGCGGCATCAGCAAGGCCAGGGGCACCTGGAGCACCCAGAAGCTGGAAGAGCCAAGCAAGGTCCTTCCCTGGAGTCTTGAGCTGGCCTGTCTGACACAATGGACTCAGGATTCTGGTCTCTTTTGAAGCTATCCAGGGTGTGGGAATTTCGTACTGCAGCCCTAGGGGAACCACTGTGTGGCGTAGGTATGTGGGACTACCTGCCCCCAATGACAGATCTTTCTGGGGTTGTTCCAATCACTGTACATGTGACTCTTTAAGATTAAAACGGGGCAGAAGGCAGATTTGTAAGGCATGCAATAATAATCTTGGTTCTGAAAGAATTCACGCTGACTGCAAAGTGACACAAGACAGGGCAAGACAAAATGCACTGGTGCCCACTGGTGACTAGCCGGTGGCTGGTGTTGTGGGGCTTCTTCCACCGGGCAGGCTGGTTATCAGGAGTACACCAGGGTGCACTCCAAGCCCTGGGTAAGGGGAGCAGGGAGCAGGTCCACATTAAACCTCGGTGTGGGACTTGGCAGGATTTTTCTGGGCTCCCCAGTCTAGTCCTGCCCCCAGCCCAGCCCTGTTGCTCGTGGATTGTTAGAGAACTTTAGCTTGACGTGCTCCTCCGTTAAGAGAGGAGAGGGATCCATGCCTAGCCAAGAGTCAAGAGAAAGCACGAGAGGACCGCGAATAACAGAGCACAGAGGGCCCAGAAAGGAATCTAGCCCTGCTGGTAATCCTGCAAGCCCCCCAGCATTGGTCTGCAGAGAGGTGACCCCGTCACTTTGTCCTCCAAGATCTCTGGAAGGTGGAGTTGAAGTTGGTCAGCACAGGTACTGCCAGGAGTCAAG